GTCCTCAGGCATCGGTGGTCAAAGACCTCCAGTCTTCGCTCATCTTCAGCGCACACAGCCTAGCATTCACATCCATTAAATAGGACTGACCGGATGGATGTACGATATACACGAATCTTCGTGGCGATGGAGAAGATGGTGTAGCCTTCCTAACATCAAAAACATGTCTGAAATCGTTGACAGACACCTAAAGATGCACCAAATTCGGGTGGCTCATAAACCAACGATAACTTTACGCGCTCAAATGGTACAGTCTAAGGATAGTGTTAACTTTTTGTGCAAGAAAGAAATCGTTTACAAAATGCCGTGTGGAGCCTGTGATGCGGATTTTTGTGGTCAGACTGAAAAATCCCTCTCTGTGCGCATTCACGAACATCAATTGGCGGTGAAAAAGCGAGACCGCCTGTCCCAAGTCGTCATGCATACCTTGGATATAGGACACGTCTTTGCATTGGACGAAACTCGTATTGTCGATGTCTGCCCTTTCAATAAAGGCTTCTAATTACTCGAAGCTATGCACTCAGGCACGTTATACATCCATAGGCGTATCGAGTTGATTGCTCCGTACAAAAGTCTCAAGCAGAAATGGGCGAGACGCGAGTCAATCCGTTTGTGATGAGACATATCGATAGCCTATTGGCGCAAGCGCCACGCTATTAATGATTTTCCCCATGCACTCACGATGTTTGCTGTTTTTTGGCACTTTCACTTTACTCTGCATCTGTCGACGAGCTGAGGCTCTAGTCTCAAAAAATTACGCGATGAATTCTATTCAAATTTTATATACAAAGGGTCTACGTGCTTTGTGTTTACATGGCAACTGGCTTTTTAATTTAAGGTTTGTTCAGGCAATGTCGGACAGGGTAACGGTTATATTCAGCACCCGATTCAAGGATCCTGGCGATATTGTCTTGGGCAAGACTTTCCTCCAGGTAATCACTTTAAATTTTGCAATTAAGGAGAAATTAGCTTGAGGTCTTTTATGCAGATTTTTTGTCAAACGTTTTTATCTGTGTCTAATTATTCTGAGCAAATATGACATCATCAACCTTATTATGGACCGAGAATTTTGTACAGTTGTAAAGGAATGTCAGCTTACACTATTTTGGTGAGTACTGCCTTACACACGCCCAACCGGGCTTTTGTTGGAAGTCTAGTTGTGGGCCACCCAACGTGCCTGCAAAAAAACTACGCTCAGTGGTCTACGGTCAAGGCCGACACAATTCCGCTACCTTCAATCAAGATCGGACAAGTAGAATACTTATAAAGAGGGCTGCAAGGCACAGCAATCCTATGGCGCACCTCGAAACCGGCCCCAATCTAATCTTGGCTTGTTCATCGCTCGTCACAAAACTACAGCCCAGGAAGGCGGAAGGGTGGATGGACGGAGGCTTTTATCCCTTAAATGCAGGAATCTTATTAAGGCAGAATGTTTCCCTTTTCATTCATGTGGATTCCGAACTGTTGGTGGCAGACCTCACCCATTTGGATGGGATAGTTTGGTTAAATCACAAATCAGAAAGAGATGAGCTCGCGGGAACAAGAAGTTTATTGGCCCGATCTTTTATTATTCTCTATTTTAAACCCCTTATCAGATAGGATCACGGACAAGATTGGCATATGCATAGCGTGCGCAGTATTTACAGTCCGTGGTGGCCACGCGACCACATTCGCATTACAATGAACGTGACTGATTCCCCTGCTCACAATAAGCCTCAGTGCAGAGTATGGAATTGTCAGGT